CACAACTTAAGAGATCTCAGCCAATCTGTAAGTGCTAAAAAGAGGAAATCTGAAGGGAGGGCAAGAAGGAACAGGAGAGTGGTGATGAAAACCTTTTCCTTTTGTGCATGTGGAGAGGGGTAGCACTGAAACAAACATTTGCAGAGCTCTCAGAAAAACAATTTACGGCTCTAACAAGATGACTGTTGGCTTTCCACATCACAAGGCTTAAAGAATAACAATTTCAACTAAAATTATGTATTTCAAAACTTTTTTGTTTTTTGGCAGATCAGAGGAATGGAACTTAATTAACGAATCCGAGAAAACCCGCTTGCAGCATAAGATTGCAGAAGATGGGGAATTCTGGTGAGAATATCTGTCACAAATTTTGCGTTTTACCAAGAAATACACAACTGTGACTGACAAAAATCAGTGCACCAGTTAAATCTGTTCACACCACTGCCATAATCGCTGTCCAATCATCCCCCGCTTCTCCCCCTCCGTAGTCGCAAGGAGATCTGCTCCACAGTACCCTCAGTTTCCTGTTAGAGTGTATTGAGTCCCACCATCACAGTCCTTCTAGGCATGCCACACTTCCCTGTGTTCTCCTTCTGGAGTACCAGCCAGTTGCAGGGAGGAGGGCAGCAAGCATCGAACTGATTGGGAGCTGTACACATGTTAACTGTCCAAGAAGTATGATAGAAAAATGATGCTTGCATTGCAAACTTGCCCCGATGGGTAGCTCTCCTCCCCTTACTGCTAACCAGGAAATGTGCAGACTCCTGCCTACCATTCACACCCACTTGGATTCAGTTTCCCCTCCATTCCTCTAGGATATCCTTTGAGGACTTCATGAGACACTTCACAAAACTTGAGATCTGCAACCTCACACCTGACACCCTGGAAGCTGATAAGCTCCAGACCTGGACTGTGTCAGTCAACGAGGGGCGCTGGGTGAGAGGCTGCTCAGCTGGAGGTTGCCGCAATTACCCAGGTGAGCAATGTAAGGCAGCCCTGACAAAGATTCACCATTGTTCAAATAGCTCATAGGGGCCCCAAATGAGATAAATATATCAAATTCACTCTACAAGCTAGGTTTTGTTTGGGAAATACAACTTCTGCCAGCTTTGGGTCCTTTGGAAGTTCGTTAGATGTCAGTTCTTCATTTTCAGCCCTCTTCTGCTACCCAGTTTTGTCATGCCTAAACAGCAAAAAGCAGCTGCTGCTGCAGGTCCCAACAAGACACTCACATTACAGAACTGGCTAAGGTGTTTCCCAAGCCATCCTGGCACAGAAGGTGGGAAACCTTGCTGCAGGGCCCAGAGTGGGAAGACACAAGAAAATATATACCCTGATAAGAGAATTGTATATGACAGTCTAATTGAAAGATGTCTTGCAAAGTTAGTAGATGAAAATTATCTGGTATCGTTTCTAACAAGAAGTTATTTTTTGTAGAGGCTAGACCTATATAACACATGAACAGGCAGAAAGATGATTAACCCAGTTTTAATTTCCCCTCAAGAACCACAAGTGGAGGATATTGAATGTTCTCTTGACAATGAGCAA